TTCTAAAAATAAAATTTTCATTTTTACTTGTCACTTTTCGTATATCAAGAGAAAAATAATTTACTTTTTCTGTATTGCCCTTACCATTAATTACTCATTCCAAATCATTTTTCGAATTTATTAAGACTATACACCAATTAATATGGGTATCATGATAAATTATGCACTTTATTTATTATTTCTTAAGGGGCGTGCAAAATCCAAAGTGAACAAGTACAAGTGAACGGGGGGAGTAATTAAAATTCAGCTATCTTTATGCGGTGTACAAGTTAGCAGTCAATTCCATAATAGGCAGAGGCGGAACTAGGATTTCAAACTTATTGGTCTGGGATTTTAATCGCCTTAAGTTATTGGGTTCTAAATTAATAATTTATACATATTCAATAAATGTTTTAAGACAAATACAGAATTCGAACTAAAGCTATTATGTTCGGCCGAACCCTCCTTCCCCAGCTTGCTCTTGGGGTCACTCGAACTTATAACCTTTTGGTTGGAAGTGGAGGGTGCTCACAACTGTAGCAACCTACTCTTGTCAATTTATTTGTAGTAAATAGCCAAATATATTTATATTTCCTCTGAAAAAACAAAAACAAAATATCCATCTTGCTCCCCTTTTTCCCCTTCTCCATTTTCCATCAACAAATAAAAATTGACACAAAAGCATCAAGAAAACTACATAGTAAACAAGAGGGGGAAATTCTCAAGATATATAAAGGGATTGAAGAAAAATCCAATCTTTCTTTTGAAAAAAGGAGATGGCTTTAATACGCCTTCTCACCCAGGTCACTTCTTTAATTCAAACCTTTTGTTTTTATTTCATTTTTTCAATTTCCTCGGAAGGATTTTTTTAATTTCATTTTTTGTTTGATTTATTGATTGATTGATAATTCAGTCTATTAGGTCAGAGAAATCCTAGTTTTTGTAGTTTTATGTGTTTTTATTTCAAAGGTTGGATATTTATAAATTTTCTTATGAAATTAGTGGAAATTTTAGAGTAATTAGCTTGTTCCTAACTTGGGGTTTATCTTTGTTTTTTTGTTCCTTAGGATTATGTCAGAGATTGAATCTTTTTGTTCTTTCCAATTAAATTATTGGAAATTTTAGAGTATTTAGCTTGTTCCTAACTTGGGTCTACTCTTTTATGTTTCTTAGGATTATTTTAGTGCTATGCTACTGTCAGAGAAACCCTAATACTGGTAGTTTTATGGGTTTTTATTTCAAAGATTGGATCTTCTTGTTATTTTTTATTTTTGTTAAATTATTGAAAATTTCAGAGTAATTAGCTCGGTCCTAACTTGGGTTTTCATCTTTTTGGTTTCTTAATAGGATTGGTTTAGTATTATGCTACTGTTTTCCAAGTATAATGTTTTACTGAGACTATAATGAGTCCGGAACCAAAGTAATAATATTTTGAACTCAAGCGACCAAAATAGGTGTTAAAAAAGGGCGAACAATTTTATGTTAATGGGGTCAGTTAGTATAGCGCATCTATTTCATGCGCTATACACTTCTTTTTTATCATATTCTACTTAAAATCTAAAGCCAGTCACGCTCCCAAAGCCCGCAAAGTTGAACTGCCTTTACTTAGAAGCTATAAATTCCGATTTTTTATACACTTCCCCAATACGACAAATCACACCCCTTTGTTAGTTCAAAGAGGTATATATCTTTGATAGACTGATTCAAAATTCTTTAAACAATAAGGAGTTGTTTGATTTATCGTCTTAACAAATTAATTCCAACATAAAATTTAATATAAGTTATACAATATTTGATGATAGTATAAAAAGCCGTGTATTTCAATCAATACAACATCTGGTTGGCTTTATTATTTTTTTTGATGAAGTAATTGGTTTCATTTCTGGCATCAAGGAGATGCAGAAGTTACAAAAGAGTGTAGCAATTGTTAGCTCCTTACAAATGTTTATACTAGTACTAGGGAGCTAACAAAATTCAAAAAACTAATCAGGGGAGTCTATAGAGGATAGATAAGCCCAGCTATACAAATACATGAGGCATCTAGCCTTGAGTCTGTGGGGAGAAGTTGATACTCCATCAAAATACCTGCTGTTTCTCTCATTCCAAATGCTCCAAAAAATAGCTGCAGGTATCATCTTCCATACTTTCCTAATGGTGCTATCAACTTTCCAGTAACTCCAAGGCATGACCAAACTAAGTCCAAAGAGTGATATAAACATACTCCATAAATCTGCTGCAACAGGACATTGAAGAAAAAGATGGTTGTGAGTTTCTGCCTCCCTCTGGTACATGTAACATCTATTCACAATCTGAAAATTCCTCTCGGCTAAGTTGTCCTGTGTCAGACAAGCCTCATAAAGTGCAGTCCAATTGAAGCAGATGACTTTGGGTGGCAACTTGATTTTCCATATTAACTTCCAAGATCAATGGTTAGTTATTACATTATGAGTTCGTGCTAACTTGCAGGCTGTTTTGACTGAGTACTTTCCTGCATCTGCAATACCCTATTTGAACTGATCAGGTACTAGAGTGTTGCTTGAAAAATTGTTGAGTGTGGAAAGAAGTCTGAGCAGATCCTCATATTCCCAGTCTTGCAAGTTCCTTCTAAATGTTATATTCAATGAGTTTCCTTCTTTGTACTGATGAATTGTTGAGTCTGGATCACTAACCATCTGAAAGAGAGCAGGGTAGTCATTCCATAGGGGTGTGTTGCCTAGCCATTTGTCCTTCCAGAATTTTATTTGTTGTCCATCTGCAAACTGCAAAGTGCTGGTTTTGTGAGAACTCCTCCCAGAGTTTGTAGATGCTCTTCCAAACTTCAACTCCTTGTGGTGCTTTAGATAGCTTGGTGCACCAGTGGCTTTGGGTTCCATGTTTGGCACTGACAACTTTCTTCCATAGGCTCTGCTCCTCCCGTGTATATCTCCAAAGCCATTTCATCAATAAGCATTTGTTGTGCAGAGCTAAGTCCCTGACCCCTAATCCACCTTGGTCCTTTGGTAAGATAACTTTAGACCACTTTACCAGGTAGAACTTGTGATCATCTTTAGTCCCTTCCCATAGAAAGTTTCTTCTGATCTTGTCAAGCTGCTTCAGGACCTTACTAGGCATTGGAAAGAGTTACATCTGGTAGGTTGGGATGCTGTCTAGGAACACTACTGATTAGAGTTAGTCTTCCACCCATAGACAAATACTGTAGCTTCCAAGAAATAAGTTTCTTTTCAAATTACTCAATGATCCCACTCCATATAGTTTCTGACTTGAACTTTTCCCCTAGTGGAAGTCCCAGGTAAGTGGTTGATAAACATCCATTATTGCAGCCTAAAATTCTAGCCAGGTCTTCTAAATTATGCACCTCATTAACAAGATAGATTACACTTTTGAGCATGTTAATGTGAAGACCTGAAATAGCTTCAAAAATAAGAAGGGTTAGATTTAGATAGAGTACTTGACTTCTGTCTGCCCCACAGAAAATCAAATTGTCATCTGCATAGAGCATATGAGAAATATTGACTGTGCTTCCTCTCCCAACATCAAAACCTTTCAACCATTGCATCTGCTTAGCTTTATCCAACATCTTACCGAGTCCTTCCATTGCTAATATGAATAAGAATGGTGAGAGTGGGTCTCCCTGTCTCTATCCCCTCTGTGGGGAGAAAAAACTAACTTGGTTCCTGTTGATTAGAATGGAGTACTTCACAGTAGAGATATTGAACTTGATCCATTTTAACCATCTTTCCCCAAATCCCATTTGCTTGAGAATGGAAATGAGGTAGGACCAGTTAAGTTGATCAAAGGCTTTTTTCTATGTCCATCTTACATAGAATCCCTACATCCCCTTGCGTTAACTGCCAATCAAGGACATCGTTTGCTTTCACTGAAGCATCTGTAATCTGCCTTCCTTGGATGAATGCATTCTGTTGATTTGAGACCAATTTTCCCATTACTTTCTTCAACCTTTCAGCTAGGACTTTAGCTATGATCTTGTACACACTACCAATTAGACTAATTGGTCTATAGTCCCTTAGCTCCATTGCCCCTTTCTTTTTAGGAATGAGCGCATTGAATTATGCATTACATGACCTAACCATCCAACAATGCTGGTGATAGTAACTCATAGCTGCAAGTATGCAGTGTTTAATGAACTCCCATTAGTGCCGGTAGAAAGCCATTGTGTACCTGGATGCCCTTGGTGCTTTCTCAACATCGGGTTGGCTTTATTAATTCTGCATTTACGAATACCTCTATAAGTTATGTTAGAATTTGCGTATTATTTATGCAAAATACAATATGGAATAAGAGTACATATGTTAGCAATACATGAATACGAATAACTAAAAACAAAATTCC